GTAACGGTATGTCTCGTCAATGACAAACACTACAGCGTAATAGAACGCTGTATTCATCGGGTGCGTACGTGAATGTAATCTGCCGTTCTGAAAATGAATAATTAAAAGTGCCGTAGCCCGACCCGTGTCCGAGGTGAATACAGTCATCTGCCCGAAGCCCGGTCCTCGGACCAAGGGCTCTAGTTCTGGGCTCTAAGTAACCGTAACATTTGTGACATTTATTTTTACTCGACCTACAAACTCATTTTTATAACGGAGTTCTGCATGAGTGTTGCAGAGTTAAATCAGAGCTCCACTGAGTTTTCAGCATTCCAGAACAGAGTATACATTACTTGTTTTACTGTACATAGGCCTATTTCATGTATTCAAACAAACAAACAATATATATTTTTATACTGTATGGTTTGGTGGTTGATGTTTATACGGTGACAAGCTCAGAACAAATCATTGCTTTAATTAAGACTTAAAACGTTGTATTTATGAAGTTAATCTGTATTTTGTGTTATTAATATATTTCTCTCAACAGAAAGAAGTGAGTTGAGGTGTGGCTTGTTGGACGCAGGGTTTTCTGCAGAAGTGGAGTGTCAGTAGAGGGAGTGTGAGTCTCATTCAGGCAAGTAAAAATCTATGCATGTTTTAATAAATACTGCTGCGGTTAGAATATTCACTCTTTACATCTTAAATTGTGATTTACAGGGTGACCTTGCAGTTAGGATGAGGGCAGTGGACAGTTGAGGACAGATTAAAGGGTTTCCATGCTGGCATCATCAGGGAGAGACAGTAGGCATCCTTTGTTATGAGATGGTCGTGCAAAAAATGTGCTTTTAGTGCCTCAAAGCGTTTAGAGCTCATAAAGCACTATAGATTAAAACATTTCCACACTGGTCAAGGTCGGACAATACCCTGCTTATTCTCAGATTGTCCTTGTTCATTTAAAAGTTGGGGGGCCCTTCATACCCATTTGTCTAGAAATCATACTCAAGCAGAACAGTCAGGGGAAACTCATTCATTTACATGTCTTGTATGCAATTCATATAGTGTCAACACAGAGAGGCAATATTTTGAACACATTGCAGTTCATCTGAAAAAGCACGAAACTGTGAATTGTGTTTTTAAGGATTGTGATTACACTACTAATATTTATTCTACTTTTGCATCACACAAAAGTAGGAAGCACAATCCTCACAGCCTTGACGATTTTAAACATGCTATATTTCAGACATTTTCAAGTCAGGGAACAGAGGATGGTAGTTGCCTGGTAGATGAAAGTAAAGTTACTTGTGATGAAACAGAATTAATTGTCAGTGAGAGTGAAGATTTTGTTCAAGTCATTGTTGATGAGCTTGGGTCCCTATTACTTAAATTAGACTGCATCTTCAACGTCTCTAATAGTTGTATAAATGAGATTGTAGACGAGCTTCAGTTCATAACCAGTACAGCATCCGCACCCATTATCAAAAATATTGTATGTACCACATTACAAAATCATAACTGCACTGTTGAGGAATTGCTGATTACAGACTTGGTGAATAACATTTGTAAGTTAAATCCTCTCACTGCAGCCTTTAGTGGGGAAGGGCCTCTTGGGACAGCATACAAGAGAAGTAGTTATTTCAAGGAGCATTTCTCTATTGTTGAACCGTTGGAGTATATACTTGATGCGAAAGAGGGAAAGACATTCCAATATATACCAATATTGCAAACCTTGTCACATGCTCTGAAAAATAGTGACATTCAAGAAAAGGTTTTGAAGCATACAAGGCATTGTGGTTCTCTAGGTCAGTATACTAGTTTCCGTGATGGTTCTCACTTCAAAGAAAACACATTTCTCTCTGGAGATGAGTTAAGACTTTCCCTTCTTCTCTACTGTGACGATTTTGAAATATGTAACCCATTAGGAACCTCTCGTAAAAAGCATAAGGTGACAGGTGTCTACTGGGTGTTCGCTGATATTCCAGCAGTGTTAAGGTCCACATTGCCATCAATTTACTTGGCTGTTTTGTGCAAGGCAAATGATGTGAAGGAATTTGGTTTTCCTCAAGTGCTAGAGCCATTATTAAAGGATTTGAGAAGCTTCGAAGATGATGGTATTTTTGTGCAGTGTTTAGGAAAAATCATAAAAGGCACTGTATTTTCTGTCATTGCCGATAACCTTGGTGCCCACTCAGTCGGGGGGTTTATTGAAAGCTTTAGTGGGTCATATGTTTGTAGATTTTGTGTTGGAGAGCGGTCCCAGTTTCAGGACTTAGAGGTGAGGGTAGGAGCGTTCCCTTGTAGGACAAAACCGCAACACGAGTTGGACATTGAAGCAGCATTGGACAGTAACACCCATAGTCATGGAGTAAAAAGGCATTGTGCAATTACTCAAAGATTAAATCATTTTCATGTGACTACAGGTTACCCACCCGATATACTCCATGACTTACTTGAAGGTATAGTACCTGTAGAATTGGCATTGTGTCTCGGGGTTTTAATAAAGAAAAAATACTTTTCTTTTGAAGAGGTCAATACAATCATCAAACAGTTCCCATACAAGTGGAAAGACCGTACAAATTGTCCCCATGGTATACCACCAACCTTTTTCTCCCGTAAAACCATTGGTGGTAACGCAACTGAGAATTGGTGTTTATTGAGGTTGCTTCCACTTATGCTTGGTACCAAAGTACCTGAAGAGGAACAGGCCTGGCAGTTGTTGATGTCCCTCAAAGATGTTGTTGCCTTGGTTATGTCACCTACCCACACAGATGAAAGCATTGGTTACCTCGATAGTCTCATTGCTGAGCATAGACATAGATTTACCAGTGTTTTTCCTCAACAAAATTTGTTTCCAAAACACCATTTTTTAGAACACTATCCTCAGCTCATTAAAGCTTTTGGTCCACTGGTGTCCTTATGGACAATGAGGTTTGAAGCAAAGCATAGCTTCTTTAAGAAGATTGTGAGACAGACTAACTGCTTCCGTAACATTTTGAAGTCTATGGCAAAAAAACATCAGTCCATGATTGCATACCAGCTCCATGGTTCAAATGTCAAAAAACCTGCTGTGTCTGTGTCAAAGATGTCCAGAGTGCCATTAGAGGTTGTAAATGACAACATACGAGAATTTCTATTACAGAAATCTCCTGAAGAGACAGTTGTTAATTTGACAAAACAGGCAGAATTTCAGGGCACCAGTTACAGTATTGGCATGATCCTGGTATATGGCCACACTGGTGGATTGCCCGACTTTGCTGAAATACTGCAAATCATCATTGTTTGTGACAGCTTGGTGTTTGTGGTGAAATTGCAAAGTGCGTGGTACCTTGAGCATTTCAGAAGTTTCAAGTTAGAGCCCACAAGCATAGTCAAAGTGATTGAGCACTCAAAACTCACTGACACATACCCATTGGCAACTTACTCATTGCAAGGCGATCGAATGGTTTCTCTGAAACACCATATCTGCTTGTAAAACTAGGTAAAGTATAATTTTAAATGGTGTGAATTAGGGCTGTCAAAATTATCGCGTTAACTCACGTTAATTACAGTTTTCATTAACGCGTAAAAAAAAAATTACGCATTAACTGCAATATTTTATCAAGCCAGCAGATGGCAGCATTGCTCTATGAATAAAACTTTCCATTACAGGGGAACGAAACAAGCTAGAAACAAAATTATTTTTGCTGGTGAAAGTAGACGGTTCATTCTTTTAGAATCTGGGATTTCAGATAGTCATAGTACACAATATTCTGTGGGTCTTGAAAATTCAGTAAAAATCATCAGAAACGGCTGGCAATATGGGAGAAATTAAAGCTGGGGTACCTACATTTTCCCTTTCACAGCTCTTGTTGGTTGTACCCAAAAGAAGAAGGTTGTGAGCAAGTCAAACAGATTTAAGAACATTTGGTCTGAATAACAATGTCATTACATTTGATAATCTCATTTAACTTTAATTGGAGTGGATTTGAAATAGAATGTTAAAAATGTGATTAATCGTGAGTTAACTCACCATTACTATGCCATTAATCAACCAAAAAAATGTCAATGTTTGACAGCCCTAGTGTGAATCCATCTTTTTTGCATTACAACTTAATTGCTCTTGTCTTATTGAACCATATCTTTGTTCTGTTTTTTTTTTGCAGTTCTGCTTGCCCAAGATTAAGATGTCTGTCCCAACTCAACTTCGTGTGATTATTGAAGAGACTCAAGTTCACAAGTTGACCCTACCAAATGGAGTCCCTAGCACTTTAGATGAACTTTTAGAAGTTGCACAGGGTCATTTTCAACTCCAAGGGAGATTTACTGTTATGTACATGGACAAAGACTTTGGTGACCAATTCTTCACTCTAACATCAACAGATGTGGTTAAGGACAAAGACACAATCAAACTAGTTAGAATGGACGAGTCTGTGATTCTGACATTGACTCCCATCATTGAATCAGTTGCTTCCTCTCCTTCAGTGTCACTGGATGTGTCTTTGCAGGAGGACAATTCTGGAATTGGCTCATCTGACACTATCATTTTACCACAGTCTCCAGAATGTCGATCGGAGCCATGGCCTACTAATTTTCAGATACCCACCTTTTCATACGATGTTGAAATGCTTCTTAATGCAGGAAATAAGGCTTATGAAAGTGATGGTTCATTCCTTCAGAATCCACCCATGAACTCAAGCATACTTGAGAAACTTTCTGACACTGTGTTCCAGTACACTGCTTATCCCACTGGCCTTCAAAGATTGGCAGTTGTAGAAGCTCTGTTAAAAAAGCATCCATGCCTAAGGGAGCCTGATACCGCATTTTCAGGCATGTATGGGTGGCAGCTGCGTCTTACATATAAGATGGCCAATTACCGTAGCAAACTAAAAAGACGTGAAGTATCTTGTCCTGAGATTGATGTCAACACATTGAGAAGGAAACTCACGGGGGAGCGACATCCTGCAAAAAATTGCAAGAGACCAAAGAAGGCAGAGGTGAACTTCCTTCCTCCACACCCAAGTGGAGAAACAAGTGACAGTTTGGAGATGGAAAGACAGGAACTTCTTATTGAGGTAAAGAAGAATAACAACACCAGGGTGATTCAAGAGAAAATGGCCAAAACATTCTCGATTCGAAGACTTGAGATTGTGAGTGAAAGTCCAGCTGTTGAGGACTTCAGAGACAGATGGCCTGCTTTGTTTTGTGAAGATGGGGTAGGTGATTCTATACTCTTACAAGTATGACCTGTTCCATTGAGTACTAACAATGTTTCTATGAATATCTATAAGGATTAAATTCTCTCCTCATAATTTTAATTTTAATTTAGCAGCAGAATATTAATCTCCTTTCCTGATTTTTTATTTGTGATTTATGTCAATGCAGATCAAGGAGGAATTCAGGAGAATAACCACATTGTCCCTGGAGCAGAGCTTCATGTACAAACTTGACCACTACACACCCAAACTTATCACCCTGATGAAGGCCAAGGGAGGTGTTTTGGGGACCGCGCTGAGACCGTTTTTGTACAGACTAAGTCAGGTGTGCTTGCCCACTTTTTTGTAGGAATATAGACCTTCAGTTTTTCTGACTCTCTTTCTCACTCACACACGCATGCACGCACACACACTAGGGATGTAAATCGGTGACCGTTTAACCGGTGGTTGACCGTCACAGCGTTAACTGGTCAAAGCTGTCTGTAAAAAAAAAAAGAAAAGGGAGAGAGGGGAGGTCTCTTAATAACGCAATTTTAAGCCCTATTCGCACGGTGTAAAGGAGCGGTTCGTCTCTACCTGTGCGCGCCAATGTATTGTTAAACTCCGGAGCAACTTTCATGCCGCACTCGCCGCGCACATACACACATACCCGCAAGCACACACACACACACACACACACACACATTTCACACTCGCTCACCTTTTCCCCGCTCAATTCATACGTAACATCCATACCGGTTGTCTCTCACCTCCGTTACTAGTCCGCCAAAGTTGTGCGGGTTAGAACTCCATCGGCGCACACGAGCACGCACACACATGAGCAAACTCACACGAGCACACACACACGAGCACACACACACAGGAGCACACACACACACACCGGTCTCTCGCGCTCCTCTGTGTCACGGAGCTCAAAGGATCCTCGCAAATACGCAGCTTCAGTCAAATTACATGGTGCATGTTTGTGCTGCTGGTCCACATTAGATCAGCTCCACACACATCTTTAGCGGAGACCTGTGAGACGCGGCTCGTCACTCCGCTGCTCTTACAGTATGGACGAGCCGTCTCTTACAGTATGGACGAGCCGTTGTTTGCTGCTAAAAAGCTTTAACCCGCAGCACAGACAAATGGGAAGAAAGCACTTCTCTGTGCGCAAAGGTGCCGAGGCTGTTGCAGGTATCGCTCCGCTGTCTCGGCTCTGATCCAGTAGAACGCATAGCTGCCCATATGAAAAGTACGCGGCTAAAAATGGCTGTTATTTTAAAGAACGTGGAACATTATAAACTACGCGGTTAACCGGTTTCAACCGGTTAATGGGGCTCGGTGGTCAGTGATAAAAAAATCATAGTTTTTTACACACGCATACACAGCACAAATTCTCATTCAGTAGCTTCAACACTCTGTGGCTCACATGACTTCTCCACGTGTTAACTAAATTGCCAAAAGTATTGGGTCACCTGCGTTGATGTGCATATAAAGGACAACTAAACACCAAATTCACTTTTCTAAAATCATAAATATGTTTCTTATAGTGTTCCCTCTTTTAGTTTTTCATTTTAGTGCATTTTAGTGTGGTTCCCTCTCTACCTTTTTGGTGGCACTACATTTTGAATTTGGTCCTGGCCTCTCCATTGGCTGTGGAGTGATGTGTGATGGCAGTTGGTGTGTGTGACTGTGTCTCTGCGCCAGTGATATAAACCCATTCAACTCTCACACGCCCTAGTTGCGAGTTGGAGTACTCTGGTGACATTTAGTGGATTAAAAATAAATTGCACGAGATACTTCAGTGGTTTAGGTTCAGGTGTGTCAGGTGTTTAGTGTGTGGAATGAAACTCTCTGGTGTGTAAACTATTGCTTTTATCAGCAATGACAATGATAAGAATGGGATGTCACTTAAGTTCATATGCACATCAAGGCAGGTGACCAAATACTTGTGGCAATTTAGTGAATGCTCTTGTGTTTTCCTGAAACAGTTCATTGTTTATAAATTAGGCTTCAATATTGACACTATATTAAACTGTTAACAGAACCAAAGCATTGAGGAAAGACGAGACACAATCATACGGAGCCTCATTGTTTACCTCGGTGAAAAAGTGGAGGACCTTTTCGAAGATTGCCAGGTAATGTATGATTACAACTTACAATCAACTTAACCCTCTAGGCGCCACGGTCGACTTCAGTCAACAAGCTGCGGTACTGTGAAAAATGGCAGAGTATGTCCAACAGTCACTGTCAAAATTCATTAACACTCCTTGCCACTAGTTGGTAGACATGTCAGACTACCTCCCTGGTCACACAAAACGACATGCTCCCATACAAAATATTCGAGCAAGAACGCATTGAACCATTGTGGAAATCATAGCGAAGCGAGTGCAGCTGCAAGGCAGCGTGCGAGTCTTGTACCGCACCAATCACTACATTTAGACATTTTACACAGTCTGTGGTGGGAACAGTATTTCTCAGGGCAGTCATTGGGACGGGTTAGATTTGCGGAGAACAAGCAGAGAAGTCGCGTCGGGCCGCCGTGCCGCGACTCCAGCCTCCGCTATAATAATGCCTCCCATAGACGTATAATCATGCCTCCAGGTCATCTCCGGGACAGTAACGTGTTGGGGAAGCCTTTGTCATGTATTTGTTAGACGAGGGAGAGAGCAGGGGAGACAAGAGACAGCAGCAGAAGAGTCGCGGTGACACAGGAGCGCGCTTCACCTGGAGGTGCTTGTCTGGGCCAAGCCCCGGTGATCCAAGAGCAGAGCACAGAGGGGCTCTGACCAATCAGAGCTGCTGATCTGAGCAGCGGCAGAGCGGAGTTAGAGCGGGAAAGAAAGAAGCAGAGTTTGTGGCAGTAAAGTGTGGATTTAAAGAAAACCGAAGGATTTAAGAAGAAATAAAGTTCAGGATGACAAGGGACACTAAAATCCCCACAATCAGATCTTTATGAAAGCTGTAGGTTCTCTGTCAGCTGAGGTCGAGCTGTTTTAATTTACAGTGAGATCTATGGGACTTTTTTCTGGGTAGCCCCCGTGCCCATGGGTGGGACCAGCTATTAGCTAGTAATACCCTATCCAGTTATTATTATAGATCCATGGTCTGGGCAGCATGATTTGTATTTGTTACTATTTCCCTGAACATTTACAATGTTACAGTGTGAGTTCTGTGTGTGTTTATGTCCTAGTAATCAATTTATGTCTGTCAGTTACACGTACAAGAGAACGTGTAACTGACAGAGTGTAACTGGGCTCTGAACCCAACTCCTTGAGAGGGGTTGGACGCTCCACTTCTCTGGTGTTTCTCGTGGGGAGAGGTGGCGAGTTAAAGGGTTAATGATTTTCTTTCTAGAAATTATGTCATTATGAATGAGGAAATTATGATTTGTTGCTCAATAGAATTGTCTTTATTTATTTATTTTTGTAAATTATATGCAGGAGGACTGCCGCAGTGAGGCCAGGAAACATGTCCTGAAAATCCTGGTGGTTCATGCAGAGGATCCAGCTGATGTGGCTATCGCTATTGAAGGAAAGGAGATCATTGAGAGATGTGGATGCACCGCGAAAGCGTGTGCATTGCTTATGGGACTAATATATGCTCTTAACATTGCATATCCACCGACGCTCCGATACACGTTTGAAGTATTCCAAAAACTTTTCTTGGAATTGGAGGGCAATAAGCTGTCGCCAAAAATCCAATCTTTGAAATTGAAAGTGCTGGCTTAAATGTGTCCTTTCTGGTTGTGTTCACTCCGTTACTGTAGAACTTCTCCTGTTTTGTTTTTTCCTTGTAATAATCTAAAGTTGTGCATATGTTCTGTAGTTGATAGTTGTGTATATTATATATATTATATTATATTATATATATTATAATTGATTAAATGATGTATATTTTGTATGGTGAAAAGTCAGTTAAATGGCCCTTCGACAGTGTTTCACTTTTTCAATACAGCAGAAACATGAGTGGGTACATGCAGTGTTGAGTTTCAGTGAGCTATAGTGTTTTTGTCCAAAACAGAAGAGAAACGTAAAAAGGCTGGTTTTCGGAACAATTTCAGTCCTGGTCCAGTCCTGGTCCAGCCTGGTCCAGTCCTGGTTCAGCCTGGTCCAGAGCTAACATAGAAATAACCCATGTGTTAATACTGGATCACTTTCGATAATACAACATTCCCATTGACTTTTCCTCTAGGTTTGGGAGGAACACCGGTCCATCCCTCTCTCAGCTCTCTCTGCTCACCTCCGTTCCCCTCTCATGTTACCTCTCCATGGTCCCTATCTCCATCATGTTCAACTCTATGTTCCCTTCTTGATTCCCACTTTCCTCACTTTTCCCACCTCTCAACCTCTGTTCCCTTCTTATACGTCTCCCACCTCTCATGTTTCCACCCCTCTCTGGCTCATTCCCCATGGTCTCTACCTGGTCCCTCTTCCTGGGGTCACTCTCACTGTTCTCCTCCTTCTTCTTGCCTGCTCTATCTGTTCTTCCTTCTCTCTCTGTGTTCCCTGGTCTCTTATCTCTCTTCCACTCTCTCCTTCTCTCTCCTGCTCTCTCCACTCTCTCACTCTCTTTCCCGTCTCTCCGCTCTCTCCCCCCCCCCCCCTTTTCTGCTGAGACTATAGTCCCATGTAGTGGGACTCCTCCTCAGTGTCCTGCCCTGTCCTCCCTATCCTCCTCTCCTCTTCCCTCTCTGCCTCCCCCTCTCCTCTCCCCTCATATTGTGGGACTCCTCTCCCCTCTCCCTCCAGATCCTCTACCGTAATGACATGTTAAGTGGGATCGTCTGCCGCTTCGGCCTGTGCGTCGCTGCTGCTGTTTTTAACTCAGTCTGTTGCCGTGGTTACGCCTCTCCAGGATTTGGAACAAACTTCTTGGAAGTGTTTGGATCCAGGTTGGAGAACAACACAAATATTAGCGTTTCTGAAGGGCTAGGGGTGTTGCCAGATACCGTGGGTGAGGACATGTGTTGACTACAAACAGATTCTTATTCCCCGTGTCGAGACGGAAGGTGACTCCGAGACGAGTCAAAACAAGGCTTTTCTCTGGTTTTGTTTTAAAAGATTAATTTTGTTTAATATACCACAGAATGTTTAATTATTTGGTTTTTTTATAATCACTCTGTCCAGGAAGAAATTAAAGACCAGTCAAGTTTTAAGAGAGAGAACAGAAAGAGACCCGAAAGGACACCAGAGAGAGACTAGAGAGAGACTACAGAGAGACAGAAAGAGACCAGGGGAGACCAGAGAGAGACCAGAGAGAGATAGAGAGAAACAGAGAGAGCCAGAGACTAGAGCGAGACCAAAGCGAGACCAGAGAGAGACTAGAAAGAGTGACCAGAGAGAGAGACCAGAGAGGAACCAGAGAGAGACCAGACCAGACAGAGTAATATTTAGTTATAGCAGCAGCAGTAGTATAGGGGAACATAAAGTTAGGTCCTGAGCTTTAACTGTGACGAGTCTGGCTTGACGCAGTCGTCGTGTTTCTGCAGCAGATGTTTGTTTCTATGCCTCACACTGAAGCTCCTGAGGCACACGTGAGGAATTTACACACCACACAGACGAAAGACCCAGAGAGAGGACCAGAGAGAGACCAAAGAGAAACCAGAGAACGAGACCAGAGAGGCCAGAGTGAGACAAAGAGAAACCAGAGAACGAGACAGAGAGCGACCCAGAGAGAGACCCCAAAGAGAAACCAGAGAACGAGACCAGAGAGAGACAGAGAGAGACCAAAGAGAAACCAGAGATCGAGACCAGAGAGAGACCAGAGAGAGAAGGACAAAGAGGACCCGAGAGAGACCAGAGAGAGACCAAAGAGTGAGACCAGAAAGAACCAAAGAGTGAGCACAGAAAGACACCAAAGAGTGAGACCAGAGTGAGACCAAGAGTGAGACCTGAGAGAGACCAAAGAGTGAGACCAGAGAGTGACCAAAGAGTGACTGGCCAGAAGAGAGACCAAAGAGTGAGACAAAGAGGACAAGAGAGACCAGGCAACGCGACAAAGTGAGACCAGAGAGTAGACCAAGTGGCCACCATAGATTTGTTTTCTGTTTTTATGCTCTAATGACACATACACATAATTCGACTGTACATTTATATTGTTTTTTTGATCAAATATTGAGATTCTAAATGTGACAAAGTCTTTGACATAGTAACTAAGACAACGGGACTTTTCAATACAAATTTGACTCAGTAAGTTTCCGTGTGTGGAGTTTTGACAGCGTTCCATTGAAATGCATGAGCTCAGTGCTTACAACAGAGACGAACCCAAACAGCTGCTACTTTCAACAAAATTGCAGAGACACACTGCGCTTTCCTTGCTCTCGCTGATTTTATTACATTTTCTTATGGCATTGTGGAAATTAGACGCTGAGGCTAAGAGGGCAGGCCTGGTTGGTTCTGTGTATGGGAGACCAAAAAGTGCCATATTAAATGATGCATTCTTTATCGTCATGTGGTGAAAAAATATGCTTAAAATCAATATAATTGGAACTTACAGACATCACCTTTCAATTTCACCTGTGGCTCTGAACCAGCTATCCTCCACATAGATTCATGTTGCCAGATGTGTCTTGCGTTGACCAGCCTGGCCTTCTTCTCTCTCTCTCATCTCTATCCTCTACTTTATTTTCTTCACTCCTCCGCTCTCTTCTTTTTCTCTCTTCTCTCCTCTTTCCTCCCTCTTATCTTTCTCTCGCCTTCGCTTTCTCTATCACTTCCTCTCTTCTTCTTTCTCTTCCCGCTCTCTCTTCGCCTCTTCCTTCTCTCCTCCTCTCTTCCCTTCTTTCTCTTTCCTCCCCCCTCATTCTCCTCTTCTTTCTCTGGTCTCTCTCTCCCCCCCCCCCCTCCCTGTCTTTCTTCTCTATCCCCCCTCTCTCTCCTTCTCTTTCTCTCTCACTCCTCTCTCTTCGTTTCTCGCCCGCTTCTCTTTCTCTCTATCCCCCTCTCCTCTATCCCTCTCCCTTTCTTTTGTCTTCACTCCTATCTCTTTCTTTCTCTCTCCCGCTCTTCTTTCTCTCTCTCTCCCTCTCTCTCTTTTTTTCTCTGTCTCTCTCTCCCTACCCCTATCTCTATCTCTCTCTCACGCCCCTCTCTCTTTCCTCGGCTCTCCTCCCTCTCTCTCCACACATCTGGATTTGCCTCACCACACAGGAAGTACTCGAGCTTGTCTGCCTGTTATTTCCTGTCTTGCAAGTGCGCCTCGGGCCCAAAACATCTCAGCTCCCATTCAAACAAATCATAAAGTGTAGTGCGAAACCATAGATGTGGAGATGCATCAGAGCTGAGCCGTCGCCAGAGACTCAGGAGCACGGGGCTGGAAACGATCTGAGGTGTTTTTAGGACACATCCAGGCTACTCAGATATGTATGTGTGGTTAAAGCTGCAGTAAGGACCATCTGTAATGGGGGGGGGGGGTTTTTTTAACTGCTGCTGACTGCTAATGCGAATGTTCTGTACTACCGCTAATGCTAATGCTACTGTACAATGCTATGTCTGCTGATAATGCTACTGCTACTGCTGCTAATGCTTAATGCTACTGTAATGCTACTGATATGCTACTGTCTGCTACTGCTACTTGCTGTGCTAATGCCTACTTGTTCTGCTGCTACTGCTAATGGCTAAGCTACTACTGCTAGTACTGGGTTATTTACTACTGTTACTGCTACATTCCACATACTAAATCTGACAGACATGATAACAGCTGTTTTTTTTTTTTTCCCCCCTTTTTTTTATTGGTAATATTGTTAATATCATATCTGATCCGGCCCCCTCGAACAAATGCTCCTGGCTGCATCCCATTCACAGCATTTACCCTCTTCGACATGGTTCTTTGCTTTGGGCTTGTTTTGTGAAGAATCGACAACTTTCAATTTCTCGAGACGACTTCTGCTTTGATTTAGGACTATAAAAGTCTTGCGCATAAAATAGTTTACATATTATAAATGTAAATCAAATAATTGCTTGATAAATCTTCTATTAAAATCACCTTTAACTTGACCGCGGACTGAACGGAGCCTGGAGGGCTTTTTAAATAAAATACTTAATTAATTCATAATTTTTTAATTGCAATTATTCTTAGTATTATTATCTATAGAACTGAAATGACTTCATGATTGACAATATGGCTATTTTAAATGTACTAAAATATAGAATTATGAGCCACAGGGGTCTTGCTAAGCAGACAAAAGCACCCATTTTGATTTTTAAGTCCACAATAAATACATCTATTTTTCTCTCTCTCTCCCCGGCTGCAGAGACGCTGTCCATGCCTTTGTCTCCCTCCAGGTTGGACACTTGCAACGCCACTCCTCATCGGGATCCCTGGCAGGAGCCTTCAAAGCTCCAGTTCGTACAACACAGCGTGGCAGGGTCCGATGAGGTGCGGATAGCATGGGCACATCACCCCCAACCTTCACACCCTCCACTGGCTCCCTGTTCACCTCGTATAGAATACAAGATCTCCTGCTCACCACCCCTGTCTCCCCACGGTGATGCCCCCACCTCACTGACCTTCCTCACTCCACATCCTCATGCAGAACCCGGTCAGGCCAACAGCACCGTCTGCTCCCGCCCAGGACACGGCTCAAGAAACATGGGGGACCGGGCCTTCGAGGCCGCATGCTCCCCGTGATCTGTGGAACGCCCTACCGGACCACTCCGGCCCCACAGACGGTGGAAGCTTTTAAAAAGGGACTCAAAACCATCTTTTAACTAATGCGTACTGCTAATTTTTTTTGTGTTGTGTTTATCTGATTTTATGTGTTTGCTTTTATTATGCTGCTGTTTGTAGCACTTTGGATTTGGTGTTCAAATGTAATGTGCTTATTAATAACATGCCATCCATTTCCATCCATCCATGTTTCATCCGCTTTATCCCGTTGCCGGGTCGCTGGGGGCAGCAGTCTATAGCATGAGGACACCCAGACTTCCTATTCACACTCACTTCCTCAGCTCATCCGGTGGACCCAAGGGCGTTCCAGGCTAGCTTGAGAGACATAGTCTCTCCCGCGTGTCTAGGTCTTTCCGCGGGGGACCTAATTAAAAATGGGTTAATATTATTATTATTATTATTATAACTTTTTTTGCTCTGGTTCACCGTGTATCTGTCCTACACCATCCTCTGCTCTACTTTTATCACCACTTATTTCTCTCACGATATTCAGTGAAGCATTAAACAACAATCTTTTTTCCAAGCACTTTTCCCATAATAAACTGGATGAATTAAGGTGGAATAATTAAAATAAACAGGTCAGCACTCAGTTGTAGGCCATTCTCAAAACACAATGATAGAGTTATTTGTGTAATATAAAAGCTGTGTTAATGCCACCTAAAACCCCTCCACACAACATTCTAACATGCAAGTATTCTCATTTTGTAGCAACAATGACAGAAGCGTGTGTGACATCACCATAGTGTTCAGCCCGCGATGAGAACAACTGTTACATAAGAGGTCTTTGAGTTCACCAGAATGTCCTTGTAAAAAAAAATTCTGATAAGACTGAGCTGAAGTTGGCTGGAAGACACGTGAAAGTTTTTATCTAAATGGTAGGTAGCAAGAAAGAGGACCACAAAACATGACATAGAGGGCGTTGTCCAAGCGAAACATTAGTTTTGTGTTGTTTAGCCGATGGGGGAGGAGGGCGAATTGCAAGATAAGCTAGCTGGAGCTATTTTCCTTATATGGGCATTTGTTTCGACGTCATGCTATAGGCCGTACACTGGCAGGTCGTGTCGCTAAGACGGTTGCTTAAGGCAAGCGGAGTTTCCCCCCACAGTTTTAGCCTTATCCTTATATTGCACCGATTTGGATTCACAACGGGACAAATTATAAACACCAGGGAGGATAAACCACAGATTCTTAAAGCCCAAAAAAGGTGATTGTGACACAAAATGTTTACAGAGATAGAGGATTTTTTGTAAAGTCCTATTTGCAAGGGATTAGTATAACCTGAGGTGTTGTAAATACCGCCCCA